GTATATTTATTAGCCAATGTTTTCTCTTTTGAAAGTGAATAATTAGCTTTGCCCCTTCAATTCTCATAATGGCAGCATATTTCCATGTTTGCTGTACAGATATTTAACTGAACACCTGCTCTGTGCACAATACTGCTCTGAGTGATCCTCTGGAGCTTACGCCATCAGGGGAGAACGAGAATCAGCAAAATGAGGAAGCCTCTTTAGGCTGTCAGCAGATGACCAATGCCAGGGAGCAAAATGAAGCAGGGCCAGTCGGGTAGGGGCAGACACAGAAGTGGATCTGGTGTCGACAGTGGCCAGCTAGGTACGTTTGGAGAAGGCAGCACCAGAGCAAAGAGCTGAAGGCAGAAAGGAGGCAGGCCATGGAGACATACAGCAGGAGTGTTCTCCTGAGAGGGAACCTGGGAAGTCTGCCTAGCGTGTCCAGTGATCAGCAGAACCTGGCAACCAGAACCAAGAAAGCCATGGAGAGAGTGGCAGGGGATGAGGCTGGGGAGCCAGGAGAGGGAACTGCAGGGGAAGCAGAGCCTCCCAAACAGACCCAAATGGAGAAGCTTCGAGGGCTGAAGGTGGGGTGACAGCTATTAGTAACAGCCCTGCACTAAAGGAGTTAAGGGCCTGCCCATCTGTGTCAGGTTAGTATGCCCAAAGATTAAGTTCTAGGAAGCCCAGAGATAAGCAGAAGGTATATGAAAAGCCAACAAGGGGAGAAGAAAACCAAGCAAGTGTAGTGTACTTGGCAACATTTCAGGGAAGGAAGGGAGATGAATTCAAAGGCTATGCACTGACTTGAATTCAGAAACCTGAACTCTTTATAGAAATAAAGTATTGATCAGAAAAGAAGTGTGAGGTCATGGGGGTCCTTGATGGAGCTGCTGGGGTGAAAGGTGGGAGCTAAAGCTAAATTATAGCAGGTTCAAGAGAAAATTGGAGGAAAAGGCTGAGTAGCCAATCAATAGAATTGTTTAGAGGAATCGTGGACAGGGGGACAGGGAGAAACGGAGCAGCAGCAGTCATGGGGTCAATGGTGTGCTGAGTGAGGAAGATCCAGCAGAAAGGGGGAACAGACCATGAGGTCCAGGAGGACCCCTGGACAGAGGAGGGCTTGGTCAGGAGAATGCACACCCTGTGCTCGCAGCAGAGAGCATCCATGTCAAGGGAGGAGAGAAGGCAGTGTTGAGGACGGTGCAGTCAGGCTGGGGCTCAGGGTGGTGGGAGCTTTGGAAGTTGAGGAAATCAAAATGGAGACAGCTGCAGAGACTGCAAAGGATGTGCTCAAGATCTCAGATGGCAACAGCGGCCCACCTTGCAATGTCTGCCTGTCTGGCATCATCTTTCAGGACAATCCTGGAGAGCTTCCCATCTGGGCAGCCCCTCAGCACCAACCTACCCTCATTCAAAACAACTGTGTAACTAACTGGGCCAACAGAAGGTTCTTAAAACCAAGCAGCTTCACCGTTCCCCTCCAAACACCAGTCCTCCTGGCCACCCTTGAGGGAATGCCTGTCTGGTTAACTGACCCTGTGTCTCCCGATGGACAAATCTATTCTACACCCAAATAAACACTGTCTTTGCTTTCATTTCATTACGAGTTCTTGTGTTACAAATTTCCTGGATGGAAACAGAAAGCCCAGACTTAAACCAGAGGCTTGGAGTGGGGGAGAGACTAGTATCCCCAAGGGAAAATAGACCCTGGGGACAGAGGAAGGGGCAGGCCAGCAAGGTCCTCAGGAAGTTACTGAGAATGAATTTAAAGGGAAACCAGCCAAATGGTTTGTACATTTTCTCCAGGGATATTTAGCTGGGCAGGTGCCAGTGAGCAGCATCAGAGAGGACTGGATTAAACCAGCACTGTATTTGCTCAAAAGAATGAGGTGGATTAAGAAAGAGGCAAGAATACTGGCTGTAATGATTAAGCCTGGTTTTAAGGTGGACAAGAAGGGAATTAAGTAGGGGATAGAGAGAACACCAACATCTGTACCAGGCATGGCACATGTGCCTCATGCTGGGTAATCTTCACCCCAGAGATCATGACTGGCTCCCTGAGTGGGTGAAGACACCAAGCATTACGAAGGCCGTTGCTTCCTCGGGGATCTCAGAACTGGGTAAGTGACAGATCCAGCACTGGAGTCCAGGGACACGCATCTCCAAAGGCTGTATACTGAGCCCTCATACTGTCTGTGCTAGCTGGAGTACTGTTGGGCATTTAACAACTGATGCAAATATCAAAGAATGGTAACTGTATCTGATGTATTTTTGTTAGTACTCTTTTCCACTTCTGTTAACATTGATACATAGAAGTCTTTAAAGATCTCTAGTAAAAAAAAAATTATCCACAAATTATGCCATAAATCACAAAAAGCAGTTTTTAAAAATCAGCATTTGTTTGGATGTTGAATTTAATAAACTCTCATTTCGGTACATATAGACCTACTTGGTCTTTGAGTGACAAAAACAAAATCATTTGTGTACTTACTGCCTTTTTATAAACAGATTTGAGAAAGTTACCATTTATTGTTACAAATTACAGAACACCTATGCAAACAGTGATAGTTAAACAGTATGTCCTTATTTCTTATATTTAGAAAAGACTTTAGGAGTAATATTTTGACATTGAAAGATTCAAAAGTTTATGTATCAAACATAGTATTTTCATTCACATAGAATTATAAGGCACTTTAATTAGAATGAATATTTGGATAAAATTAAACAAAATTCTATTATTTTAATGAACATAGATGCTTATCACATGCCTTTTACATGTAAAAAAGATCTATGCTGTGCAGCCCTGTGGAGGGTACAAAACTACATCCTTGGTCTCCTAGAATGGAGAGCCACACGGAGAGGCGACTGAGCCAGGCCTACAGGAACCAGGACAGCAGAGGGGCAGCCTGACCCACTAGTTTGGCTGGCAGGTGGTAATGTGGAAGGACAGAAAAACATGGGGCAGCTGAGCCTGTGGCCCTACATCCCCAATGACCAAGTATAAACTATTCTAATATAGTTGATTTATTTTAAGTAATAGCCAAAAAAAAAAAAAAGAAAAAGCAGACTCAGTGTGTTAGTTCAGTGGATAAAATATAGTGGAAACAATTCCCAGTTAATCAAACCAATGGTCGTAATTCCATAAAAGGTTCTTGAGATAGCAGCAGTACATCAGGATGTCCTACAAAAAGACCATGTGGAGAGTAGGGGTGATGGCCACCAAACAACACATGGAAATCTGACTTCCTGTCTCTGTGTGTATGTGTGTCACCACACACACACACCCCGTTCCTATGAGTGTGCTGCCACCCTAAATGTGCTAAAGGGTTCACAGTACTGCCCCAGGAAATGCCACTCTCCAGGAAAGGGCACTGTCCCCAGTCGGCACGAGTGACTTCCTCTGGGGACTGAAACTAGCCACTTCCAGAAGGCAGGGAGCCACATGAGACAAGCTACTTGACTTCTTGCTGCATTTCACCTGTAAAACACTCATCTTGTCTACCATTGCAGAATAATATGGCATGCATTTGGTCTTGGATCCTAATTCCAGTTCCAGAGCTCCTAAAGCCTCTGGGATTCCCTGAGCGATGGGAACACCTCTTGTTACTCATAACGAGCCTAGGTGGTGACGGCACCCGAGGCCAGGGTGCGGGAGGGATGCACCCCGAGCATTCCACTGTCACAGCCACAGGAGCGTGCTGCAAGCCCCTTCTAGATCCCACCCTGTGCATGTCTTCATTTGGCTGCTCCTCTGTGGCCTGGGTAATAAAATCACAAACACCAGTGTTCCCCCGAGTTCTGTGAGCCATCTCAATCAAGGCAATGAACCCAAAAAGGGAGTTCTGGGGTTTGTAGCCAGTCTGATAGAAGGACAGTGGCCTGGCCTTGTGATCAGTGAAGCCAGAGTAGTCTCAGGAGACAGAGGGATCCGACACCAACACCACTTGGGGACAGTGCGGGACAGTACTGAATCACAGGACACCTGGTGAGCGGGTCGGAAACATGACTTACGGGTCTCTCACTCACTCACACACGCGCACACACATAAGCATCTGCTCACAGAAGTGTTCTGTGTGAAGAGTCAGGTTACAGAAGAAAATTGCTTTTCTCTCTCTCTCTGACAGACATCTATTCAACCAAAAGGAGTATAGAGTACTTTGTGATTAGGAAGAGCACGTGCAGCCATCTCTCAGGAAGCAGCAATGCGGGACAAGGCTCCTAGAGACACCAGGACGCAGGATACTCAAGTTCCCATGTCAAATGATGTGGTATTTGCATACAATTCGCACGCACCTCCGGTATGCTTTAAATCACCCCCAGATGGCTTATAACAGAAACTACAACATAAATATTTATTACATTGCATAGGGAATATGAACATGGAAAAGGCGTTGCACTTGTGTGTAGAAGCAACCATCTCAGGACTAATTGCAGAGCAAACCTGACTCCCGTAACCATTCAGTTATAAATAGTAGGGTAAGAGGACATGGTAAAAAACAAACCTTGTGATTTTAGATGTATGGTTTACCGGTCACTTTCCCGAGTGCACACGCTGTACATACACACACAGACTTTGTCATTTAAGCTATAGTAATTTAAACACATTCTTTTTGCTGAGATAGTATTTCTGTGTTTGGAAAGGAATATTAATTTCAGTATGGATTTTAGCAGTCCTCAATCCGTATATTTTCTTTCTTTTTTTTTTTAGGATTTATTCATTTTTATTGAAGGGCAGATTTACAGAGAGGAGACACAGAGAGAAAGGTCTTCATCTGCTGGTTCACTCCCCAAATGAACATAATGGCTGCAGCTGAGTTGATCTGAAGCCTTCTTCGGGTGTCCCACATGGGTGCAGGGTCCCAAAGCCTTGGGACATCTACTGCTTTTCCAGGTCACAAAAAGGGAGCTGGATGGGAAGTGGAGCAGCAGGGATTTGAACCAGAGCCCACATGGGATCACAGCGCATGCAAGATGAGGATTTAGCCACTAGGCTATTGCACCAGGCCCTCAAATTATGTATTCTCAAAAAATCCTATAAACCTCATTTCATCAAGTTCATTCGTAAGAAGGACACCCTAGTGACAGTAGTTGCTAAGAACAAGAGTATCTGGAAGTGGTCCAGAGTTTACCATTCGGCAGGTGTTTCTCCACAACGAGGCCCACTTTAGAATGAGGTGTCCGTCTCTTCAGGGAAGGTGCTGGTTTCTGCAGTTTGCTCAAATAAGGGAGAGATTTTCTCAGAACGCAGTCACTAGAACTTTGGGATTTTCTTCTCTCTCCAATAAATCTCTTGATCTTTTCCCAGATCGGAACCTGTAAATAAAATAGCTTTTCCATAAAATGAAACATTCAAGAGTTTGGTCCTCACGAGGCCAGACTGAAAATCATTAACACCGAAAAGAACTTCATGAGCGTAGTTCTAGTATTTTATGATTTTGAACAACTTCTGGGGTCATCTTATTTGAGCCTAAAAACATTTTTATTTTGGGGACAGAAAAAGGGAGGGAGAGTCAGAAAGAGGGACAGACAAGACAGCAATCCCATGTGCTAGCTCACTCCCTGAATGCCCTGAATGGCTGTGGTTGAAGGCTGAAGGTGCCACGCCTTGCCCTTGTGGGTAGCGAGTCCCTACTTCCATCTCTGCTGCCAGGTAATTCAGATTTTTGTTTGGAAAGACCCTCTCCTCTACAGTTATAAAAGTATTTGTTCCTTGGTTACAGCTGCTTTTTTTTTTTAATATTTTTAGATCTAGATTTTTACTCTCTCTTGAATTTATCTTGGTGTTTTTTGTAGGAATCAACTATTTTAAATATTCAAGATGTCTGGCTGAATGTTCTAACACCTTTCACTGAATAATCTAACTCTTCCCCCACTGATTTTGAGCTGCTACGTTTTGTGACGCATTGAATTTTCACATTGTCATATGTTTTTATTTCCTGATTTCTATTCTATTCCATTGATTTCCATGTCCGTGCCATCTCCACAGTGTTAATTACCACTGCCTGGACAACAGGTATGATCATCTGATGCAGCTGGTCTCCTCTCGCTGCTCATCCATGCCACTCTTCCTGGTGTGTGTGATCTCAACATCATGTCACTGAGTTCCACTTACCCTTTCACTTTCTGTATCTGGTCTAGGGTTTCCGGCAGAGTCACTCCAAAACTTTCAGGGAAAAAAAGGGTGACGATTCCGATGAAGACCGTGAGACTGCCCATGATGATGTAGGGCAGGAGTCTGTTGTAAGCACCTGAGGGCAGCGAACACGAGATCAGGTCAACACAGGGACTCTAACGCTCTTGAGCTCCTAAAGCATTGCTGTGAAGGCAGCAAATGGTGTGCGAGAGCAGTTCTCAATCGGAATGTTTTCACAAGCGAGGTATGTAAGCTAAGTGTCAGTTTCTTTGATGATAAATGTTGTTGACTTTGTGTTTCTGTAGTGATGTACCTGCTTGATTTTAATTCTGAGATGGTTTCCTACTCTGTCCTGTCAGCTAGTGTCCTACATGCTACTGCTCCCTCAGGAGTGACAGCAGCTCCTGTGACAGGAGTCTTTGCTGCCCCAAGCTGCCCTCTAAATGTGGAGCAGCTGGAGGTGAGCATTGCGATGACGTCAGGGAAAAGAGGCTGGCCAGCATGTTTCAGGTTCTGGTCATGGTGAGTGTAGTGTGTCCCCTTCCACCCCCGACCGTTGTGGGGGACAGCTGGTTCCACAGAAACTTAAATGACACATTCAATCTAGTTTGAATCCATAAATGAGGACTGACACATACGCTTAGATTTGGTTTCTTTTTTCTTTCTTCCTTCCTTACTAAAGATTTATTTAATTTAAAGTCAGAGGTAGAGAGAAAGAGAGAGAAGGATATTTTATCTCAACGGTTCGTTCCCCAAATGACTGTGGCAGCCAGGGCTGGGGCAAACCAAAACCAGGAGTCTGGAGTTTCATCAAGGTGTCTCACATGAATTCAGAAGCCCAAGCACTTGGGCCATCCCCTGCTGCTTTCCCAGGGACATTAATAAGCAGCTAGACTGGAAAGGAAGCAGACAGAACCAGCAACCATGAGGGATGCCAGTGTTGCAGGCAGCAACTCTATGTGTTACACCATGACCAGGGCCCTTGATTTCTTCTGAGAGCATTGCATGCCTTGGTTTTACATGTAATTGGAACATCCCTCCTCCTCTGGCCCTCTTGATCATGTGGTATTACTCAGATAGGAGAATCACAGACCCTCATCCTGCCTCCTCTGCATGGAGACAACACTCCGCTAACACAACTTGCTGTTGTGGCGTGGAAAGCTCTGTCTGGGACTTTGCTTCTTAAGCATCAGTGTGGGGTGAAAGGAGAGCAGACGCCTGTGTGGCACTCTCTCAAGCTATGGCAGGACAGGAAACGATTCTCTCTGCAAGCATGTGCAGGCACCTTCCCTGGGATTTCATGTACATGTGTAGGGGAATAGGTGAGGGGGAAAGAGTAGGTTATCACTGGACGACCAGAAAGAATGAGGTGTGTCTACATCTCTTGCCAGGAGAGTCCTTCAGGAGAACTGAGTTTGAAGTACCAGACCCTACATCCCCCTGAATCCCGCTGAAGTTCCTCTGTGGCGTCATTCTAGAATGTTGAAACTTAAGTGCTCAGAAAGTTTTTGGTTTTGGATTTTCACTTAAGGTTGTACAACCTTAATAGCAAAAAGAAAGAAATGGCCTAAATGCCCAGTCACTGAAGCCTATCTACAAAACTGTTTATTACAAAGATGGTAAAAGAGCAACACATATCATTGAAAAGGATATTTTGGTTAAAATGTTATTATATATGATATCTGCACATTTATTCATATGTCTCTGTGTGTACATTCACATTCATATGCTATACAAAAAAATTACTGAAGGGTTACCCATCAAGTCATGAATATTGGGGCTTCTAGGGCTATTTGGAGAGCTGGAAGAAGAGAGCTAAACTTATACTTTTCCCATTATTTTCCACACCATTTGAGCTTTTCATTATGAAAAGGTATTACTTGTATATTTAAGGTGGATTTAAAGAAAGAGCAGATGGACAAGATGCATCTCACCCAGGTAAACGAAGTAGGGAGCAATGATGCTGCCCACCCTGGAGGCCATGGATGTGACCCCCACAGCCATGTTCCTGACCAGGGTTGGGTACAGCTCGGCAGTGAAGACGTACAACATGGAGAAGGCAGAGGTGATTCCAAACTTCCCCAGCATCGCCAGACCAATGGACACGAAGCTGTAATCTAGGAAGGAGACCCGGTGTAAATAAGGTGCCATCAGACAGGACACTCAGCTGCTTTTAATGTCATTTTCACTTCTTTAGGGAATCATTTTATTAACATGGAGTTATTCCCAAAACACCATTTTTTCTTCAAATGTCCTAGCAACTGGACATGGACAAAGAAGGAGAGTGAGGCGTGCCTTTGCACTTTGCCTGTTGTTATTCTGGGTCATTAATGCAGCCAGTGATCTTTGTTCCCCAGCAAATTGCAGGCATGTTAATATGGTTAAGCTTAATCTTGGAAGAGAAAGGCCAATCCTTTTTATCTTGCTTCTTGCTATGAAGCAATGCACATTTCCATGAAAGTTAGCCTATGTTAGTAATTCAACTTAGCATTTTTGTAAAATGAGAGATAGCCATAAGGGGAGAAGGCAGCTGATGTCCCTTTGTGTGCTGTTTAACTACTTCACATTTTAGATACAAAATCACTGGACTTAGACCTGAACCAGCATGTGTTCCCAGCTCCAACACTGAATATATCGCTTAGAGAAAAGGTTTCAAAACATTGAGGAAGATCTGAAAATTTGCAAATCATGATTGTGACTCAAAGACACTGGTTTAAGAGTTTGGGGGGCTCTTCCCTTTCACTGGGGACGCCTCCAGGGCTGACTCGGGTGGCTGCTTTGATCATGGAAAATCACATAATTAGCTATCACCTGTCTAATCAACCTGTGTATGGGGTCTGATGTCAAGGCAGCAAAACAGAGAGCAGTGAGTCATGCACATGTGGCCTGGCCAAGCGTGGGTCTGTTCTGGGAAGCGGCCAACCCCAGTGAATTGCTTACCTGCAGGCACCAGCTGAATTAAGAGAAGCACCCCTCCTCCCAAGAACAGCACCCCGGCGATGATATAGCGCCTGGGCAGGGTTCGCAGCAGCAGCCAGGCTGTGACATAGGCAGGGACCTCAATCAAGGCTGAGAGGAAACAGTTCAGGTAGACGTCGCCGTGTAAATTAGGGGAGTCGAGAGAAAGAGCAAAGTAACCCACTGAGGTTAGCATCCTGAAAGATAAAAACCAGATACAATGACCAGAGGACGGCCTCAGTCACTCTAAAATTTCAAGATGACCAAGAAAGTGTTAAACAGCCACTAATTCCATGTGGCTTTTGAAATTTAAATAGGGGTCAGCTTGAGGGTTAGGTTGCCACTTGGAACAATCATAACCGATATTGGAATGTCTGGATTCAAGGCCTAGCTCTTCTCTAAATCCCAGCTTCCTGCTGATGCACCCTGAGGGAGGGAACTGACGATGGTTCAAGAACTTGGATCCCTGCCGCCCACCTGGGATACCGGCCTGAATTCTGTTTCCGGCTTTGGCCTGCTTCAGTTCTGGCTATTGTTGCCATAGGCAAAGTGAATCAGGGCATGGGATATCAGTTTCCCTTTCACATAAAGAACATAAAAAAAATGTGAGCCCTGACGTGATGGCTCAACTGGCTAATCCTCCACCTTCAATCACTGACACTCCCCATGGGCACCGGTTCAAACCCTGGCTGCTCCACTTCCCATCCAGCTCCCTACTTGTGGCATGGGAAGGGAACAGAGGATGACCTAGGATCTTGGGATCCTGCAAGCATGTGGGAAGCTCAGAGGAAGCTCTTGGCTCCTGACTTTGGATTGGCTCAGCTCTGGCCACTGCAGACATTTGGGGAGTAATCCAGCAGATGGAAGAGCTCTATGAATCTGTTGTCAATAAAAAAATTAGCTTTAAAAATTTTTGTATAGGGCCCGGCGGCGTAGCCTAGCAGCTAAAGTCCTCGCCTTGTACGCACCGGGATCCCATATGGGTGCCGGTTTTAGTCCCAGTAGCCCCACTTCCCATCCAGCTCCCTGCTTGTGGCCTGGGAAAGCAGTCGAGGACAGCACAAAGCCTTGGGACCCTGCACCAGTGTGGGAGACCTGGAAGAAGTTCCTGGTTCCTGGCTTAGGATCGGCGCAGCACCAGCCATTGCAGTGACTTGGGGAGTGAATCATCGGATGGAAGATCTTCCTCTCTGTCTCTCCTCCTCTGTGTATATCTGACTTTGTTAAAAAAATTGTGTATAAATTAGAATCAAATAAAATTTCTAAAATTTCTTTTAGAAATTTTTTCACATTGTTTACATAGTTGAGAGAAATAAATAAATTTTTAAATACTTGAAAGTTAAATAAAATTTTAAATTCAGTTTCTCAATCACACTAGTGACACTTGAAGAATTCACCAGCCACATGGACTAGTGGTTGATGTTTTCAATAGACAAAAAGTTCTGCAGAAAGTTCTATTGGGCAGCATGGTGTACACATAGCAATATTCAATAATACCCAATCCCAGCTAGCTGACTTCAAAATCAGTATTTCCTGAACAGTTTGTGCTTTATTACTTCTTAGAGTTGTCATTATCAGACAAAAAAAAAATGAGATTCCAAACTGCAGATCTCATTATTTTTAAAGAAGAGCAGGTGCATAGGTGGTACTATGGGATCAAGCTGTTGGAAACTGATCTGGCAAAGCTCACTTTTGGGAGAGGAGTGAAGCTTTCAAAATGCTCCACAACATAGCAGAAGGCACAGGGCACACCCTATTGTGCCAACTAACATGCACAGAGGCGCTTCCCTGTAAAAACAAAGAGCCCCACTGCAGAAATCTGCATGTCACGAGCACAGATGAAAGCCAGTGGCACTGGACGAGGGTTTCAGGAACTACGTTGGATCTTCTTCTATAGATTGGACCACATTGGACAGAATGAAGAATAAAAGAAAAAACGAAGCCTTACTGCTGGAGGGATCTTGGTGATCTGGTTGTCGGTCTAACCAAAGGAGCAGTGCCCACAGAGCTGGTACCTGGCCCAGCAGCACCACTGCTGGACAGGTGTGTACGTCCACAAGGTCTGCTGACCGTGGGAGGCGCGGGACACACTTGCTGAACTCTGCAGCTTACTCCCTGCCCGCGATTTCTCACTGTAAACCACAATGGCCTTGGAAACATGCTTGCTACAGTCTGCACCTGCCAGTTCCAGTACCCACATCTCTGCACTCACTATAAGCTATGTGTGTTCTTGTCCTTTATTTCTTGGCCGCCACCTCATTCCATTGAATCTACAAAACCACCTCATCACCTGTGTGCCTTACAAGCCCTTACTTTTTGCTATTGGCAGGAATATAAAGCTCTTCACTTCTCAGCCTTTTGGCTAAGATCAAGTGTAGGAATAAAAAGCTCGACAGGACTCTAACTCAGGCAGTGGGGAACCCAGTGCTCCTGTCCTCATTGTCCATGGCTGGCTCGGCTTCAGGAAGCAGGAGCTGAAGGAACATCTGTGCCCAGAGCAGATGCACTGTATCTCACAGGGGTGGGGTAGTAGCGAAGCCTTCTCCTGAGGGTCCCAGCAATGCAGACCCAAACAGCAGGCCTAGTGACTTTTCCCAGTATTTAGTGCTGTGAACTGAAAGAAGACACCTCTAACGGACTTTGCACTTGGTCCTCTGTCTGTGTGATTCTCTGAGTGAGAGACAGTGAGCTGCAAGCTCAGGTGCTGCACGGCTGCACTTCCAGATTCCTTACTTACCACAGCAGCACAGACATAATGGTTAGTGTGGCAATATTCCGAGTCCTGAACAGGTCCAGAATGAAAACTTTCTGCTCCTTCAGGGGGTATGGATCTTGCAGCTAAAATAATACAAACAGGCATGAGATAAGAGGTAGTAAGATTAAGAGGTATTCTTCGGCAGTGACCCATGGGAATGAGTGCATCCAAACATGTGACAATCATTCTCACACTTTAAACTGGTAAGAACAGATACTTCACTTGATCTTAGCCAAAAGGACAAGAGCAACTATTCTCACACTTTAAAAAGAATGCAGTCATTTTAAAGTGTGATGGATTAATTTTTATTTTATTTGAAAAACTCAAGAACAGGGAATCAGGGAGGCAGAGATCTTCTCATGGTGCTTCATTTCCCAAATGCTTGCAGTAGGCAGGCCAGGATCAGGTGCAAGCTAGTATTCCAGAACTCTGTTTGGGTCTCCCAGGAAGGGTAGCAAGAACCCACCTGCTTAAGCCATCATCTGCTGCTTTCCAAAGTATATATCAGCAAGAAGCTGGGACCAGTGCAATGGCTCAATTGGCTAATCTTTCCACTGTAAATCTCTTGGATCCTATATGGGCACTGCTTTGTGTCCCGGCTGCTCTGCTTCCTATTCACCTCCCTGCTCGTGGCCTGAGAAAGCAGTGAAGGATGGCCCAAAGCTTGGGACTCTGCACAAACATGGGAGGACCACAGGAAGCTCCTGACTCCTGGCTCCAGATTAGCTCAGCTCTGGCCGTCATGGCCATTTGGAGAGTGAACCAGCAATGGAGGGGCTTTTTCTCTTTCTGTCTCTCCTTCTACCTGTAGATCTGTCTTTCAAAAAAACAGAAATAGAGTTTTTTCTTTAAAAAAAAAAAAAAGCTGAATCAGAAACAGAGTAGGCCAGAGTCCAATCAGGCATTTTGATATGGGACACAGAAGTCTCAAATAGTGACCCAACTGCTACACCAAATGCCTGCCCTGGCTTTTTAAATACGTGACATCAGCTCCAAACACAAAGCCTGGCAGACAGCCACTGTAGCCTTTCTTGGTTCAGTCATCGCTGCGGATGGCCTTTATCAGAATGACCCAGGATCCAAGGGTCTGCTGGGGGGGCGGAGTGACAGAGCCCCCAGCAGCTTTGAGGTTATGTCTGCTTTGTTTGTTTGTTTGTTTGTTTGAAAGAGTGTGTGTGTGGGGATGGACAGTGAAGGAGGGAGAGAGAATATCTTTATATCTACAGGTTCTCTTCAAACACCCACCACTCTGGACAGACTCTGAAGCTGGGAAATCAACACAGGTCTTCCCATGTGGGTAGAAGAAACTAAAGAACCTGAGCCAGCACCTCCTGCCTCCGAGGGTGCACACAGGCGCGAAGCTGGAATTGGGAGTGGAGCTGCGACTCAAACCGAAGCACTGTCATACGCCATTCAAACATTTCAAGTGGCAACTTAACCATTATGCCAATTTCCCCTCCACTTTTAAAAATTGACTATGAATCATGATAACCAGGCTGGTTAAAATTGATGCTAAAATAAAAGTTACATTGCTCTGAGCCGTGGCACGTGTGGAGTGAGGAAGGCGTTCCTGACTGTGGAGAGCAAGGCCTGCCTTTGTGGCAGGTGCTCCCAGACATTAGCCTGCTCTCTGGACAGACACTCACATGGCTCACGGCCAGACTGGCTTCTCTGCCACACTCCCTGCAGGGCACAGCAACAGAAGGTGTCCCTGCAGTGTAACCGCACTCTGACAACAAAGCAAAGTTGCTGCGTACTCTGGGAGTCAGGGGAGCTGGAGGTCCTCACTGAGGGTCTCAAGCACGGCACACATACAGGACCTATGGTCCAGACTCCGTTTTCACTCGATACTTCTCTGGGACTCCTGTTAAAATGCAGATTGCCAGGTCAGTGTAGTGGCATATCAGGCTAATCCTCAGCCTGCGGTATCATCATCTAATGTGGGCATATGGGCACTGGTTCAAGTCCTGGCTGCTCCATTTCCCATCCAGCTTCTTGCTCATGTGCCTGGGAAAGCAATGTAAGATGGCAGTGCTTGGGGCTCCTGAATCCCCCTGAGAGACCAGAACAAGCTGCTGACTTCAGACAGGCCCAGCTCTGGCCATTTGGAGAGTGAACCGGCAGATGAAAGATCTCTCTCTCTCTTCGTGTGTGTGTGTGTGTGTGTGTGTGTGTCCTTCTCTCCATAAATCTGCCTTTCAAAGCAGAATAAATGTTTAAAAAATGCAGATTGGGTCCAGCAAGGTGCCTAGTGGTTAAAGTCCTTGTCTTGCACACGTCAAGATCTCATATAGGTGCCAGTTCTAATCCAGGCGGCCCCACTTCCCAACTAGCTCCCTGCTTGTGGCCTGGAAAAGCAGCTGAGGATAGCCCAAAGCCTTAGAACCCTGCACCTGCCTAGGAAACCTGGAAGAGGCTCCTGGCTTTGGGTCGGCTCAGCTCCAGCCGTTGCAGCCACTTGGGGAGTAAAATCAGCAGATGGAAGATCTTCATCTCTGTCTCTCCTTCTCTCTGTAAATCTTTCCAATAAAAACAAATAAATCTTTAAAAAAAAAAAACATAGATAGCCAGGTCCCACCATGGGCCTGCTTATTCTGACCCTCCCGGGGCCTGAAGCCCAGGGAATCTGTATTTTTAAAGCTCCTACATAACTGTAACGATGATTCAGATTTGGAAACTTCAGGTCACAAATATTCTTCTGCAATGCCTTTGTGGCAGATGCTGTGGGCAGGCTGAAGACGCCTACACCCGAAGCGAGGGACACTCAGGTCACCTTCCACCATGCGGCTGCTCTTTGCTTCCTGTCCAAGTCAAAGTCCCTATTCCTAACACGAAGAATGAGTGCTGCTGTTCACAGCACACACTTTCACATCAGAGAGATCCTGGTTGTAAATTCCAGCTTAACGGCTGTGTATACACCTGGGCAAGTTGCTAACTTTTCCTGAAAAGCGGGCTACTGGCAGTACCAGGTACCGATGCCAATGTGAGAGTCATCTGAGCTGACAATACTGCCAGCCACCTAGGGGGTTCCTGGTTGGCATTCTGTGCGGCTGCACATGCTGGCACAGGGCTCTGTGCATCGTGCATCGTGAACAGGATCTGGCCTTGGGAGCTGGGCAGGGAAGACAAGGTGGCAAGCAAGTACAAGCTCCCCTCCCCCAGAAGGCTTGTCCAGGTCAAAGGACAGCAATGCCTGAAGAAGCAAGGCGTGGGTAGAGCATGTGACGGGGCCCTGGACTTGATCATTATTGTCTATCACTGTACATCTTTTATTTGTTTATTGTCGACTCCTCTGAATTTGTGTAGGTCTGATCTCTACCCCCAGACTGGAAGCTCTGCAAGATAACAATCAGACTACATCCCAATAAATACCAAGACTTGGTGTGTTGCTGAAAGGCAAGAGGTTCTCAGCACTCCCACTGTTTTTTCTGCCTCCAGTGAAAATGACTAAGTCTGAGAATGGACTTCTGGATTTGAAACCAAAGGCCTAAGAGATGCCTGAGAGTAGGGCTTATGACCACCGTAATCAAGCCTCCAGGGCACCAGGAGGCCAAGTGTGCGTGAAGGCCTTGGACACAGCACAGCACGCCCACCTCCTCCACAGTCTGTTTTCTGGGGCAGCTGAGCATGGACCCCAGCACACGCACGCAAACCACGGGCACAGCCACCAGCATCTTACTGTGTTCTAAGTAGCCCCCTATCGTTCCAGCCAGGAACGGCCTGTTCCATTCTTTGCAGTCATCCAAGTGAACCCTACAGTCCCTCCTGGTATGCACCTGCCTCCTCTGCCCCAGGCCACCTCGCTTGCCTTCTTTGAACTGCTAGCCCAGTGTTACCTCCCGGGGTCTTTGGTATTTCTTCCCGTATGTCATCATTAGTCTTTTCACCTTATTCTCTTGGCCAGATCATAACATTCTGTACTCCTTTAGCATAAGAGTGGCATCTTTCATTTCTCAAGGGACTGTAATGGTGAACAGCACACCATGTCTTTAGCCTGTGTGGCTGCCGCCACGGAATATCGGCCTTTCCTTGTGACCACCACCTTGAGAATGGGTCTCTGAGCCTGTATTCTCAGGTCTTACTGCTCCACATGTGGCTCATAGCAAAACTGAAAACATAGAACAGAGACCATCTGCAGGCTTAGGAAAGCTTCTGGGCACAGCAGGGGACCCAGGGTGGACTAGCTCTCAAAGTTTTCCCATTTAATTTGCACATTTAAAAATAATCAGTACAGGGCACGGCAGGGTAGCCTAGTAGCTGAAGTCCTCACCTTGAATGTGCCTGGCACATTCAAGCACTAATCCTGGCTGCTCCCATCCAGCTCCCTGCTTGTGGCCTGTGAAAGCAGTTGAGGACAGCCCAAAGCCTTGGGACCCTGCACCTCTATGGGAGACCTGGAAGATGCTCTGGGCTCCTGGCTTTGGATCAGCACAGCTCTAGCCATTGCAGCCACTTGAAGAGTGAACCAGTAGACAGATCTTTCTGTCTCTCCTTCTCTCTGTGAATCTGGCTTTTCAATAAAAATAAATATCTTTAGAAAAAATAATCAGTACAAACAAGCAATGTCAAAAAAAATTCACTGAAGACAAATTTGCAAAGTAGAGACAGCTAATACTTAATAGTGTTTGGTGTTCATTAAGCAGTTCACATGTACAATTGCACTGAATTCTTTTCATGTGTGTTTATTTGAAAGACAAAGAGACAGAGATCTCCTATCTACTGGGTCACCCTCCTAATGCCTGCACAGTAGGGGTGGGCCAGTTTTAAGCCCACAGCCTTGAATTCAATCTGCATCTCCTACATGGGTGGCTAGATCTGGGAAAAGAACCAGGATGCAAAGGCACCTTAACATAGGACTGGGATGTCCTGAGCAGTGTCAGCCACTCTACCAAACATCTATCCCAGCACTGCATTCTTAAACAGTTCTTTAAGGTGAATTTTATCTTAAAATTTATTCATGACTATGTTCCGAAGTTCTAGCACAGTGCCTGGCACATTGTGGACGCTTAACAAATACAGAATTAAATCAAATTCCATAAAGCCAAGAATGCATAGCTGATACCCACCAGAAATACCAGTGAACACTTACCTCCGCAGGATCAAATATCACTGCTGGTGCCACCTTGTTGTTCATTTTTGCTGCCTTTTGGATGATAACTTCAGCCTCTCTAAATCTTTTCTGGGATAGCAGCCACCGTGGAGATTCAGGAATAAACCTAGAAGTCATTTTTAATAGTTTATAACTTTACACAGCAGGTGGGTATGATACTATCAACTCTAAGCTGTCCCCAGATCACTAATTTTGTAACATCTTAGATATTTCTCACTTTTTAAAAGTCTTCAAAAGATTTCCGTGGGATCACAGGAATAAATACAAGCACCTTCAAGTACTAAACTTCAGATCTGATTGCAGCACTGTTCATTGGTTTTGCTTGAGACCAGACCCTAAAGGTTGGCCTTTGACGGTGGGTGTGTTTGAGCAAGGCCAGACATGGGAAGCTGTCCAAAACTGGACAGGCAGTGAAGCTCCTAGAAGAATCACATTCTGTAGCCCTGAGTCCAGGAGGAAAAATCATCTTTTCAGCATGTCCATTTTCTGAGGATTCCTGGTGCCTGAGCTGGGGTTGGCCACAAGTTTACTAGGTAAAGCCCAGAGCACCTGTGTCACCCCCTTTCTCCTAAAGGTGGAAAAGGTGGGGATGTGTGCCCTTCTGTGGGCTATCCCTGTGGCTTTTAATAGCTTCCCAAATCAGCAAGTGCCAAACTGGTTTTGAGGCGATGCCTTCAATGTTTTCCTTTTTTTAAAAGAAAAAAGTCTAAAATTTTAATTTTTAAAATTAGCATACATACATTTATAACTCATGCTCTGATAACTGTTGCAAATGGAAGGCTTCTTGCCTGAATTTCATTTCTTAGACTCTCCAAGCCTTTCTCTTGCCAGCTCTTAATTGCCTGACCTAATTATCAGTATTTGGTTTTCCCAGAAAATAAATTACAAGTAGCAAATACAAACGCCTCCTCTAATGGGCAGGCTCCAACGCTCTAAGAGGAATTAGCTTAGAGTGAAACCCAGTATGACAAATGACCAACCCCTAGCTCCCTTGCCTAGTCTACCGGTCTGCATGCTTGCAGGATGCCTAGAGTGGTGTTCACAGGAAGTGTGATGTTAGGTCACTGCCCTCAGTAACTACTGTGGTGCTGTCTACCTCGGAAACATCTTGCATCTGTGCCACATGGCACAGCAGTCACAGCCATGGAGACAGTGTGACTAGTGGAACTTGGCAGAGACAGAGCTGCATGTGGCTAGTGAGAAAATGCAGTTACGGGTTTGAGGGGTACCCACCATACATGTGAACACCTCACCCACATCTCTGCCCTTGAGAAGTGCCTTTCCCCAGCAAAGCCCTACCAGGCTCTGACTCCTGAAGTGTCCCCATGCTCCTTTCTCACCAAGCTCTACCTGTTAACACACATTCCCATCACACCTCTGCTCTCTTACTGCCGGGTCTTTTAAAGGGAACTTGACTCACCCGCATCCCCCTCTCATTTCTAGTTCACTACAAACCCCAGGGCCACTGCTATCCCTACTTTCTAAACTCTTTTTTTTTTTTTTAGATGCATAAAACCTCAAGTCTAGGAACCAGCATTATGGCACAGCAAATCACACTGCTGCCTGTGACGCCATGACCCCATACTGGAGGACAGAGTTCCAACTGCTTGGCTTTTGATCCTGCTCTCTGTTAATGTTTCTGGAAAAGCAGCAGCTGATGACTCAAGTACTTGGGCCCCTGTACCATGTGAGACCCTAATGGAGTTCCAGTCTGCTGGTTCTGGTCTACCTCAGTACTGCCATCTAGGGAATAAACCAGTGGAGGGAGGATTTCTTAGTCTCTTTCTCTAACTCTTTGATATTCATATAAATAAATATATTTTAAAGACCTTCCAGTGTAACTGATCATTTCAAAAGTTGAAGGATTGCTACACAAGAACGCGCACTGCACTCTCTGCAGATTTAATTCAGATCACACAGAGCAGGAGTGCGCAGGGCCCACAGCAGCTCCCATGTCACCCTATCGCCCCAGTCCAGTGACTGTCCAGCAGAGCTTCAAGAAGTCCTGCCCTCAAGAACAAAATGTTCACAAGCAAGCCATTTGGTTTCCACAGCAAAATGATCAGCTATGGTTTGATGTTCAGGTTGAGCACTCGGCTTGTTAGTGCTGGCCCCAGGGCTGCCCCTGTCTGGGCAGCAATGTGCTGGTACAGGATGCCCACCATGGCTGACAGCTCTCATACGTCAGCCCACGAGCAACAGAGGGAAGAATTCTCTTTTGGTTGGACGAGCAGCTCTTTGTGGGATGGTCCTTCTTTGCCGGGAAATCAGAAGGCCAGGGTCGTTCCCCACAGGGATATGGGCCCGAGCTGAGAACCTGTGTGGTCAATGGAGCTCTGCTATTGTCACTTTCTCTGCTTTAGACAAACTCATGCAATGATCAGGATAATCTTATAATATTCTGAAGGTACTGATCTCTTAGGCCAAAAACAACTAAAGTCAGAGAGCATGCATGATTAAGATCATTCCTCTGAGAGGTGGACACTCGGTGTAGTGGTTATACTGCCACTTGGGTTACCCACCTTCCATATCAGAGCACCAGGGGGTGAGTCCCAGCTCAGCTCTCCATTCCAGCTTCCTGGAAGGCAATTAACTGACAGCACCCTATATCCAGGTGGGAAACCTGGATCGAGTTCTGGGCTCCTGGCTTCAGCCTGACCCTTCTCTTCTCTGGCTGTTGAGGGTCTTTGGAAAGTGAACCAGTAGATCAGATGTGTCATTGTCCCTGTTTCTACCTTTCAGATAAACAAAATAAACAATAACAAAAATCAATTACGTGACGAGGCAGAAAGTAATTTGTGAAGAATCTCGTCCATGTCTTAAGACAATCTCTGGTCACCCCATCTTTTCTGACAAATTCAAGATCAAGGGCATGGTAGGGTGGTGTGATGATGATGATGGTGGTGGTGTTGGTGGTGATGCTACTGCTAACTCCCATTCTAGAAAACTACGCTGCTCTTGGAGATCTGGGTGCTAGCCACGAAGGCAGAGCTGTGTCAGCGACACATTGCCTTTGTTTACTGACCACAGGGCTGAGTTCCAGGAGAAACCTCCAAATCAGATTACATCAGCTTTTAAATACTTTTTTCTCTCAAATTCTATTAAAGAAAGGAAGGGCTGCGGGAAACCTAAGCTTTCTCCATCTCACATCCAAAGCTCACACTATCAAAGTATAGTATCTCAGAGGACATAAGAAGCTAGTGGCTTGGGGTGGTCCAACTACTTGATCAAACCTGTCAACCACTACAGCTGCCAAACAGTTACAGCAAGGACCAAGGATTACTCATATCTAACTTCCCAGGTGGGATGCGGCAGGAAAGCCTTGAGGTCAAGTCTAAATAGTGAGTTACAAAAACAATCAAGGAAATTTGTATTAAGTGCCAGCAGGCGTAGGTCAAGCAGTACAGTATAACGGGTCACTGATGCCAGACTGGACTTTGATTTAATGAAACCACACCAAGCAGAACTAAAAGGGGCTGGTGGGGGTCTAGAACCCAAGACCAGGCCCTCCAGTGGCAGAAATCCTGTTTCCACTTGCTTACATATGAAAAAGTCAAGAAATGTAAAAATCTCCAAAAATGGGGTATGATTGGAACTTTACTCTGCTATTTTTTATCTATTCTTTCATCTGGAATCCATCCCCTACATCGGCCCAGATAATTGACTGTACTGTGTAAGGTCAGGGCCAGAACCTTCAAACATTGCTATTCTCATAAATATTGGGTCAAAATTCAACAGGGGTGTATGTAAGGGAAAAAGGAAGGCCTTTTCTAATAGCTTCTTAAACTAATTCTCTGTTCAAGACAAAGTAGGTAAATAGGCACCTCTTAGAGCTATCACTTAGAAATACTTCACAGCATTCAAAAGGAAATGGGTTCTGGGCGCCTCAACAGATACAAGCCGATGATGTACACATATACTCTGTAAAATGGTATGGTGGTGCCATGTGCCCTTCTGATTACTTTAAAGCATTTCTAGGTTGCTTTAATACCTATTACTGTGTAAGCATTACTGAGGCAGGTGTCCACTACACTGTCTAGGAAATAGCAGCAAAAAAAGCCTGTACACGGTCAGCTGTACCGGTGTCATTTACTTTTAAAAATGTGTGTTTCCATCCTCGATTCACTGAACATGTAGAGCCCAGAGATCCTGAGAGCGTGCTATACTGTAATCCACCAGAAAGGAAGACGTGCTGGAGCGAGGAAAGCAATGCCATCTAGGGGCACAGTAAAAACAGCAAATCCCAGTACTGCCAGCCACCACCAGCAAGACCTAACTGTGGGGACAGGGACTAGCATTGTAGCATAGATGGTTAAGCTGATGCCACCAGCAATGGCAGCATCCTACATGGGGGCCACTTAAAGTCCTGGCTGCTCCACTTCCAGTCCAGCACCCAGCTAATGTGCCTGGAAAGTTCAACAGGCCCCGACACCTGAGTCCCTACACCTTGAATGGGGTGGGGTTCCTGACTTCTGGTTGTTGTGGACAAGAAGGGAGTGACTTTCTCTCACTTACACATTCCCTTCTTCTAACTCGGCCTTTCAAATAAATAAATCTTTTTTAAAAATGGGAGAGAGTCCAGGAGGGAGCGGAATTCCTGAGGTCAATGCTCTGAAGTTCATGGACTCAGACCCTGGCACACAGGCCCACCCACAGCGGCCTCAACAAGCTGCACTGGAGCGCACACAAGCCCAGGCCAGCTCAGGGGCAGGCTCTCGGCTCCAGGTGTGCCGGCCCACAGCACAGGGCCCGGCTGGGGACGAGCCACACTCACCACCACAGCGGGACACACAGCACCCCCGGCACCGTCAGCGCCAGCAGCAGCATCCGCCAGTCTCTGATGAAGTAAGCAAACAGCGGCAGCAGCATGTAGCCTACTGCAAAAAATGTGCACACTCCTAACGTAGAGAATAGAATACGAACTGACTTGCCAAGAATTTCTGTTCCTGTTCAAAACAAGGGAGGAATATTAGCATCTTAACCCACTTTAATACTTGTTTTTTTTCCATCACTACCTGGCGGCTGGAGCCCAGACAACAATCACCGATGGCAGGTGGCAGCAGGGGTTGTAGGGGACGATGGCGCAGGATTCCAGGCTGCTCCAAGGGTTGAGTTTTTAGGAGGTTGTAAAACAAGCCAGGGACTGATTTTGTCAAGACCATCCATATCACAGAACTAGAATGCCCAACTCCTCTGGGAAGGCCACCTGTTCAAGGAAGGAGCCCAGCAGGACAGGTAGGGAGCCCTGTGGGATACCACAGCCAGCTCTTCCAGGGCTGGTGGCTTGTGCTTAATGTGTTTCCCATAGGCAGACCTGGGCCCACCACATGTTGGGTCACCCTTGTCCACCCTTGAGCTCTGAGAAGTAAGCAGGAGCCAGGGGCAGGCCCCACAGTATGCAAAGCTGGATTCCTGTGCAACCGTAGGATGTCTGGAGGGCAGCCCCAGGTCCTTCAGATAGAGAAAAGAACGGAGCCATTTGGCTACCCCTGTGGCCAGCGGCCACAAAGGCCCATGGCTGTTCCTCGGTGGGCACTGCTCCGACCCCTGCTCTGCTCCGCCCTGTGAATCCCAGGCCACCATTTCTTCCCACATAGGATTTGGCCACCTGCAGGGGATGTGAGCACTCCAGCTCTTCCTCCATGAATGGCATGTTCTGGGCTGTGGCTATGCTATGGAACGCACGGCAGAGTAGGGGACCAAAGCAGGGAAGGGCAGTTCTACTCCTGAGCAGATTGCGAAGGGAAGGAGGAAGTGACCACAGCAGAGAAAGCACAGGTGACAGTCCCCTAGGGCCATGAGGTCGGGAGTTCCATCCTCCCTGCATAACCTTGGCCTGAAATGACAGAGGTTATGCAAGGGGGTCCTGGATAACTCCTTAAGCCTGAATAAGATGAGTAGTCATCCCTATGCAGAGCACCAGTGGGGGTAGACTCTTCACCAACTGGCCACTCTGTCTTCTGTGCATCAAGCAAGAGGGATCTGCTCCCTGCTTTCCAACTTGTGGGCAGTTGAACTCCTCGGTCATCATCATTACCACCACCATCACCGTCATCATCATCTTCAAGCAGCATGTTTAGAGTGGCTACTCAGAGACAGGCTCCAGGCCAAGTGTTTACAAACAGCATCTCCTTTCTTCACCACAGTCATGCAACAAGTAAAATGACTTGTGTTTTACACACCAGTTGAGGCTGAAAGAGTTAAAGCCAGTTGCCTGAATGCATTCAAGCCTCATCTGAAGTAACAGCAGGTTCTGAACTAGACCCATCTGATTTAAAGCTTCCAGTCCACACGCAAAGCTTGCCTGGGGCAAAGCAATCTTCAGCTGGGCTCTAGGGGAAATGAAGGGGTGGGGATCACCCGGGTTTCCCTTCCTGGGCAGGTCATTGAACCAACCTGAGGCCCCCAAGCCCTCTGAGGAACACCAGGAGAGCAGCCTGAATTCCTGCAGATGTCCCTGGCCTGTTGCTGCTACAAACTCTCTCATGGCAACACACACACACACACACACACACACACACACACACACACACAGAGTAGCTCTAGTGACAGGATCCCTGTCCTTGGCATCTCTGCCATATAGGCTCCATGCACAAAGCTTGATCAGTTACAGTGTCTTCCAGCATCTGAGTGTCTCCTGGGAGGAAATTCTGATCCACACGCCACAAGTGACATGTCTTGACCAGGATGAGGACCTGAGCATGAGGACCTGCCTGCCTGCTGGCTGTGGTCTCCACCTGAATTCACCTGAATGGGAGCACTGGCTCCAACAGGCAGCAAATCCAAGAGGCCAGGCTTCTTTCCATGGTTAACAGGGCTCGTGTGTGTCAGTTCCACATAGCAGGCAAAGCCAACACAGGCCAGCAGCAGACACAGATCGGGAGAAAAGATTGTGATGCCGCTGCCAGGATGGAGATGGGTCCAGCCATACCTGGGCTAAGAGTGTCTTGGTCAGGGGTCCTTGACACCAAGGTGTCAGTGAGTTTGCTAAGTTCTTCTTTCTGGAATGACTGTTGTAAAGACTGAGATGATGTGAGCTGTGAAGTGCCTGGCAGGTGCCTGGCAGGTGCCTGGCAGGTGCTCAGCCGTACTCATTCCCTTCTCTTGCTCAAGCAGTTGCAGTGACTGAAAGTTGGGAAGTGATCAAAACTGCAGAACCCTTGACCAAGAGACTAATAGTAGCACCCTAGTGCTCCCCAGAAAATGCCAGACTTCTCATCAAATCTGTAGACAATGTCCGGCTCAGGGCTTCCCCCTTTTCCTCTGAAATCCCCCACAGACTACTCTGGTCAGAAGAAAGCTCTCTGGGAAGGTGGCTGAAGCAATGGCAAGCTGCTTGAGTGTCTTTATCTTGCGTCAGAGCACTGGGGTTCAAGTCATAGCTTTGTTCCATGTTCTGGGCTCCCTGCTAAGGTGTCCTGGAGGACATTGCAGGGATGGCTCAAATATGTGAGTCCCTGACACCCACATGGGAAACCTGGGCTGATTTCCAGCTCCTGGTTTCAGCCTGGTCTACTCCCAGTCGTTGGGGATCTCCAGGGAGTGAACCAGCGAATGGATGGTTTTTCTGCCTCTGGCTCCATCCTCTGTGTTCTGAATAAAATAAAGGATGCTGTTTTGTAAAGGAGCTCTTCCTCTCTCTGCCTGTATGCAGCAATGCCACCTTCCCATGCCCACATCCTACTAACAACTGTGCTGATGGCCACAGGAGTGGCTTCTCACTCCTCCTGAGATCCCCAAATTTCTGCATCATTTTTTAAATTTGTGTCCAATTCATCCTAGTTTTGAGGCAGCTCCCACTCATACTGCAGTGACTGGAAGCATTATAGTAAAACAGAAAGGCAAGTTACAAAAGTGTGCCACGTGGGGAAGAGCCAAGCCACGCCACTGACAACTTTGAAAGCAGTGACTCCATCCCTCTCTTCTGTCCCCATCCCGACCTGAGCTCCTGCCCAGCAGCAGGACCACATGAGCACACACACAGAACCCAAGAAGAGAGCTCTCAATAGATTTGACCTCTGGTAACACCTTAATTGTTCAACTTTCACTCCCCAGAATTATGGAAAAATAAAGTTCTGTTGTCTAAGTCACTCAGACTGTGGTGTTTTTAAAATGGCATCTCAAGCAAACTAAGATAAAAGTTTATTTCAATATGGGGTCAGTACTGCCAGGTACTGAATTAATCTGTGATGTTGGCATTCCATGTAAGGGTAGGTTTGAGTCCCAGCTGCTCCACTTGTGATCCAGCTTTTTGCTAATGTGGCTGGAAAAGCAGCAGAAGCTGGCCCTATTACTTGAACTGCTTGGCACACACATGGGCGACCCGAATGGGAGTTACAGCTTCTGGCCTGGCTCAGCCTCGTCTTGGCCATTTGGGGCATGAGCCAGCAGATGGAAGATCTCACTCTTTCTCTCTCCCTCTCATGCAACTCTGCCTCTCAAAGTCTTTTTAAAACTTTTGAACAATACACAGCTGATAAAAACTCCCGAATTGACGCAACTGGGTTTCATGTTTGCTTGAGCTTCCTGTTGGACAAAGGTAAAGGAAGTTGCCGCCAGTTACACCCTTATCAAAGGGAGGAATGTCTCACTGGCTGAGGAAGCAAAGCCTTAGACGGTTCGGCATGTCTAAGGCAGAGTCATGTGGGGAGAGCTAGCACAAATCCTGGGAAACACTGCATGAGCACACTGGCCAGGCCAGGGGCCAGTCACTTTCCATGCAGAATGCATTCAAGTCATTAGTTATGGGGATGAAAGAGCAGACTGGGTGGACAAATTGAGGGCATCATTTCTGGGAAACAGACGGAGCTACTAAAGGAGCTGACGGGGTAGGGCCAGTGTCCTTGGTTCTGAGTGGTCACTTCCTCCTCAATACCATTGCTCTGTCGCAGTCACTACAGGTAGTCCACTCTGTGTCACTTACAATGCTTTAGCTTCCTCCCTCTTCTAGACTCTTATGGCTGGCAGGTTTGATTATTTTTAAACAGTGGCCGAAGGAGAGGACAATTTCTGCCCTGACTTGAGAGTGGGAGTGACTGAGCCTTCAAATTCACCTGACGTGAGACGGGAGATCCTCACTGAGGGACTTTTCAGCCCCTCTACTGCCTAGATCCAGAGTGAAGAAAAATACAGAAAGAGCTATTCTGTTGACTTCTGTCAAATTAAATCTTGAGCGTTGGCTGTGCTAGCCCTAAGACACTAGAGGGTGCTGCTGCACTTCTAGAAGGCCATTAGCCACGGGGTCTTCACACTGTGTCCTGCACTGAAGAACACCGTTGCTCCCAGGCAGTGTTCAGGGACACTCTCAGACTTTCAGACCCCAGAACCTAACCTTAACAAGATACCGAAGTCATAAGTTTCCTGCAGACCACAGGGAGTAAAACAACACAAAGTGAAGTTCCTGGGACATGCCCTGACAGCCCATGTGCCCAGTGTCTTATCCACTGACAGCTGGCTTGAAATACCCCAGCTCTAATGTTCATCTGCCCTGCATGGGAGGACCACAACTGCATGGGGAGGAGGGCGCAGAATGGAGAGTAGCATCAGGGCCAGGGTGTGCCTTCTGCCTCACCTGCTCATGCCAGAGAGGCCCCAAAGAGAAGAGCCTTGTACCTCTGGAGAGGCAGGTCTCAACACAGGCCCTTCTGCAGAGCCCAGTGATGCCACAGCCTAGCACAGTTGCCTGCTGTTCTTTTGTCCAGCAACAGGGCTCTGTGGCCCCATTGTGATTTGCTGCCCTTGATTTCAGATGGTCCTTCTGGTCCTGGAGCTGATCTTCTGCCCTCAGATACAACGCTTTCTGCAGTAAGTCTGGCCCAAGCAGATTTAGGGCTGGAAGGGTCACCATAAGGAAGAGGGGACTGCGAGGACATAGAACATGACCGTGAGAGCCTATGCCTTGCCTCTTTTACTGTGCTAAGAAGCTGCAAGTTCTGTCCTAAGTCCCTCCACTTTCCCGTTTTGTGATCTACCAACCTAAAGCTCTCTGTGCCCTCTACACAAACAACCTTCTGGAAAACCTTGTTCCCTATTCCTCTGCAGTGGGGGGGCACGGCCTTTCCCACTGAGGTCTGCTGAGAGGTGCTCCACTGGCTGGGGCCACGTGCCTTGGGCATGCCCCATCTCCCCCGCCTCTGGAGCCACTGAGGCTGGACCCAGGGTAAGAAGCTTCTCCTGTAATTAAAGGAGTGGAATTTGAACAATGCCAGACTGGCAGCCTAACGGGATGTCAACTAAGTGAATGTGGCATCTCCAAGGCCAGTGAGTCATTAAAGGCACTTAGGATCATCTGACCAGGCTTAGCATCTGGAGACAGAGGAATAGCTGTGCCTGAACTACAGGGACACAGGGATACGCTGGCCATGAACCCAGGAACATGTGCTTGCTGTCTATAGCTCTCTTCTCTGTCCATAGGGGGAGCTCAGAGGACAACTCCTGCTACCTGCTCTGATCAACTTGCCTGGAGCTCACCTCAGTTTTCCCCAAAGGCGCTAAAGGGCCTGGAGGCCTTCCCATGGCTGTGTCACTGTTTACTGTTCCTTTTGCAGCCTGATATGCCCAGCAGCAGGGCTGCTGTCTGAGACAAGGCTGCTATCAGAGCTTGAGGCATGCCTAGGCACAGGTGATAGCTAAGGGGGTGGGTTTTGACTTAAGAGCACACTAGATCTGCCCAACCCTGGCAGGCCATGACCAAACTCCCCCTGTCTGGCACATGCCTACCCTAACCCTGTGCTGGGCTCACCAAAACCCCTGAGCATCTGTAAGGGCCTCCAGGCTCCTTCCCCAACAGCCACAAGCATAGCTGGAGGTTTATCAAGCTGCAGAGGCACACCCCCGGTCGCCCACCTTCCCTGGCCTTTGAGAGGGTTGGGGGAAGCCAGGCCTACCCAGTATGAAGGCCACCACATAGTTGGAGATCTGGCCCATGCCCACGATGACAAACAGCACGGTGAACATCTCCCAGCTGACAGAGAAGATCTGCAGGAAGCTGAAGCCGGTCTGCACAGCCATGGTGGAGAAGAGAATGCTCTTCCTGCCAAACCTAGAGGGACAGAGCAGAACACAACACATGACGCACAGGGCGTGGGGCAAGCTGAGTCAGCCTTCATGGCACACTTGTCTTTTTTTCTCTTTTTGAGGGCTCTGACATATTTTCTGGCAAGTCCTCCCATCTTTCTCTTCTGCCAGGCTCCAGGCTCCTCCTGCTGACAATCTAAGCTCCCTGTGCAAGCCCCGTATTCAGGAGCCCCAGGGCAGCCCCTGCAAGGGCCAGGCACCCAACTGCTCTGGAGAAGGGGCCACAGGCGGCAGCCGCCGGGGCGTTTCCAGAGTGGATATGGTGCTTCTTTGGTAGGGATGTGGGCGTTCTGGAATGCCAGAACCAAGAGGCTCTCCAGAGCAGTGGTTTTTAACCTTGTCTGCCTTTGGAGTCACCTACAGTACTCTGAAAGGAAAAACAAACAAACAAACAAACAAACCACAGACAGTTCCAGGCTCACAATGGTTTGAGATGACCTGGTGATTTTTTTAACCATACAATGGTGAGGCTGGACAGAGGCAGGGGGCACACCCTCCTGTCGGCCCCAAGATCACCAGAGGAAGCCTCTGTTACACCTAAGCAGAATTGGAAACCACTGCTTGAGGGGAAGTTGTCACTTGAGCAATGTCTGCCCGTGAGGCTGGGTTTCTGTCACATTCCAGTAGCGACCGCTGGGCAGAACCCAGTACAACTATGAGCCAAGCACCCCCTTAACCCATTTTCCAAAATCCAGGTTCCAGGCCCTTGGCGCGAGGTCCCCAGAATTGGAAGTGTGACAGGGACTGCTCTGGGGAGCCTTCCCATCACTGCCAGTTACCTGCCCCCCTCCTGCTCCAGTCTGTGGGGGGGAAAAACACGGGTCAGTGGCGCCCGTCTCCGCCTGCACCTCCAGCCTGGCTCAGCTCTGCAGCCCCTGCAGCGGCGAGGGCACAGTGACTGGTCACCTGCCTCCCCCGTCCTCCCACAGACGGCCCCCTACCTGTCGGACAGCTGACCGGACACGAAGGAGCCGAACAGAACGCCCACGAAGAACAGCGAGGTGGTAAGCGGCGTCTTCCAGTCATTCTCGCACACCAGGTTCCACTGTCGAGGGCAGATGGCACGGTGAGCCAGGCCCTGCGGCGGGCGCCCACTAAGGCCCAGCTCCCCAGGGCCGGTGGGTGGCCCAGGGCATAGGCAAGGACTCCGTGCTCCACCATAGGGCCCAGCCCTGCCCTCGCTGGCGTTCTGCTCCCTTCTGCAGCATGCTCAGGCCGAAGAGCAGGAAGCGAAGCTGGGCCCAGCTCGTCACCAGCTCACCCTCACTTGAGAAGCAAAATGGCGCCCGCCGCTTCTGGGGCCGCCGGGTGCAAGGCGGGAGTCTTTGAAAAGCAGCAGGGCGGGTGGAGGGCACGGGCCCGTCCCTCTCTCACGAGGAAAAATCCGACTGAGTCTGGTGTGGGGTAACTTGTCAGAGCTGAGGAGAGTAGGAACTCCAGCTTCTCCGCCCCACAAGACTCTCACTTTAACATGGGTCTGATATACCCACCCACTTTCCCAGGATGCACTTGTTCCAATCAGGACCATCAGATGGCTGAAACCCCACCCCATGGGTTTAGCCGATTGGGTTATCACCCCCGTATAAAAAGAGGGCCATCTTGGGCCCGGCGCGGTGGCGCAAGTGGTTAACGTCCTGGCCTTGCACGCCCGGGATCCCATATGGGTGCCGGTTCTAAACGGCAGCCCCACTTCCCTTCCAGCTCCCTGCCTGTGGCCCGGGAAAGCAGTCGAGGACGGCCCAAAGCTTTGGGACCGTGCACCCGCGTGGGAGACCCGGAAGAGGCTCCTGGCTTTGGATCGGCATAGCATCAGCCGTTGCGCTCACTTGGGGAGTGAATCATCGGACGGAAGATCTTCCTCTCTGTCTCTCCTCTCTGTATATCCGCCTTCCCAATAAAAACATAATAAAAATAAATCTTAAAAAAAAAAAAAAAAAGAGGGCCATCGCCACTACTTTTCCCGCCATGGAGCCATCTCGGACGGAGCTTCCAAATTTCAACTACCGTTTTCAGTGTTTTTCCCTTACTGGCCTTTGGCTGCTGTTGGCTGCTGTTGGGTAATTTCTTTGGGCAGAGGCAGCCCACACTCATATGTGATTGGGTACTTATTCCTTCATTGTTAAATAAAGTATGTTCCTGTTCACTTAGGAGTCCGGCCTCCACTTAGTACTTCTATCTCTGTGGGAGGGTAAAGCCTCAGTTTAAAAAATATATATATTTATTTGCCCACATCATTCCCTGGGGCCATGGGATTTTGTTTTCTGAGTAGACTGTTCTGGAAAAATCCATGCTCGCTGGTACACACACACACACACACACACACACACACACACACACACACACCAGCCTAGGGGCCTGCCAGGGCGCTCCTCTCCCCTTCCATGCCTCCACCCTCATTTCCAAGCTGTGGGTCCCTCCCATGACCCAGGGCCTGTGGGCTGCTGTCTTCTTAAACAAGTCCCTGCTGGTGCACCCATCCAACAAGACTTTCAGCAGCAGTTGCTGTCCCCAGCTAAACCCAGGGGATCAGGACATATGTGAGGGAAAGAGAGGAGGGGTTGCATAACCCAAGCCAGGGTGGCCCTGAGCCCATGCTGTCCTGCCCAGGGGCAGGGAGGTGGGGGAGTTGTCAGCTCTCAGAAAGATCAGTCTCCCAGCGAATGAGCTCTTGGTGGATTAGCAACTTTTCTGAATCCTGAAGTCTGTGAGCCTCCCCTACACACTTCCCCAAAGAGACCACTCTATGAAGTATCCTGGGACAAAAGCCACTGTGCAAGCAGTGCAGGCTGCAGGTGGCCACCCAAGCACAATTCTGCAGAGGGAAAAACATGGAGGGACATGCCTGCCCCTCCCTACCTCACTCCAGGACAATCCCAGGACGAAAATAAGTCGATGCTGGAGACACAGTTGCTGCAGCGGTTTGTCCCCACCAGCACTCTCATTGAAATTAAATCCTCATTATACAGTAGGACAAACGTAACAACTTAATCCAGTGATGACATTTGCATAGTGGACCAGGGCAGTGATTGGACTAAAAATGGGGCCATAAGTAGAGCCTTACTTCCAGTGGAGCTGCGGCTCCCTAAACTGGAGGAAGACAACTCTAGTTGGCAAGTTTGGTCTCACGATGGGAGGGCCTGTGTGGCCTTGGGACACTGTTAATAGCAACAAGGCTCTCTCAGGAACCAGCTGTCCCATCTGGAACTTTTCTGCCCTTAAAACTATGAACTAAACAAACCTTTATTCTTTAAAAATTACCATCTTGGGCCTGGAATGGTCACCTAGCTGTTAAAGTCCTCACCTTAAATGTGCCAGGACCCCATATAGGTGCCAGTTCTAATCCCAGCTGCTCCACTTCCCATCCAGCTCCCTGCTGGTGGCCTGGGAAAGCAGTCAAGGACAGCACAAAGCTTTGGGACCCTGCACCCATGTGGAAGACCTGGAAGAGGGTCCTGGCTCCTGGCTTCAGCTCGGCTCAACTCAGCGGCTTTTGTGGCCCCTTGGGGAGTGAATCATCGGACGGAAGATCTTCCTCTCTGTCTCTCTTCCTCTCTGTATATCTAACTTTGCAATTAAAAAAAAAATCTTTTTTAAAACACACACACAATGGTTAAACCCATTTACAGATTTATTTATTTTTATTATAAATAAATAATATATATTTATATATAGTATGTATAGATATATATATATATTATATATAGAGAGAGAGGAAGAGAGCCAGAGAGATATATATAGATATATATAATATATATATATTATATATATAATATTATTATATTATAATTATATATTATATATTATATATAATATATATAATATATAATATTACCAATTATATATAATTATATAATTATAATAATATATATATTATATAATATATATATAATATATAAATAATTTTATATATATATATATATATATATTACCAATCTTGAGGACTCTGTTACAGTGACAGGAAATGAACTGAGATAACTGGGGTCGCTGAATGAGATCAAATACACATTGTCAGCCCACAGGTCAAAAGTGGCAGGCGGGGGCCGGTACAACGGCAGAGTAAATTAAGATACCACATTCAGGGGCTGACACAGTCGCTCAACAGGCTAATCCTCTACCTTGCAGCACCAACATCCCATATGGGCACTGGTTCTAGTTCCAGCTGCCCCACTTCCAATCTAGCTCTCTGCTTATGGCCCGGGAAGGTAGCAGAGGATGGCCCAAGTCCTTGGGCCCCTGGACCCACACAGGAGATGTGGAAGAAGTTCCTGGTTTTGGATCAACTCAGATGTGGCCATTGCAGGCATTTGGGGAGTGAACCAACAGCTGAAAGACTTGTCTTTCTGACTCTCCCTCTTTCTATAAATCCACCTTTCAAAGAAAAACACCTGCAATGCCAGCATCCCATAGGAATGCTGGTTTGAGACTCAGCTACTCTATTTCCAATCTAGCTCCCTGCCATCGCACTTGGGAAAGCAGCAGGTGATATCCCAAGTACTTTGGGTCCTGCACACATGTGAGAGACCAGGATGAATTTTTAAGCTCCTGGCTTTGATCTGGCCCACCTCCTGCCATCACAGCCACTTGGGGAATTAACTAGCAGATGGAATAACTTTCTTCTATCCCTCTCTGTATAGCTCTTTCAACACATAAATATTTTTATTTTAAAAAATGGTAGACAAGACATGTGCATGAATTATTGGCATCTACCAGAGAAAATAATGAGCTCAAGCTTTAGAAAAGAACTTGGGATCTGTCCCTGATGACACAATGGAGAGGAAGATTGAAGCCCCAATGCCTCATGATGAGGAATGTGACCCATTTTGCAGAGGGTCACAATCAAGACCCTGAGATGGAAATCACAGTAAGCAAATTGTCATGCTAGATCCAACATGGGTCTCAGAACACAACCTTCTTCCCTAGTCCTACTCAGGACATGCGCTCCAAAGGGAGGACAAAATGAGTTTTGTAAGTAAGATACCCCGCACTGCTACAAGGAATGTGACCCCATGGCCAGGGGTAGAAGGCCTCCACCACAGCCTTGATTTGGGACAGAACCAAGCAAATCTCAAACTCTGTGGAAGAGCTAACATACCCGTTACCAACTTCACCATTCCATCTGCAGTTGAGTGGAAAAACTCCTCCAAATCCTCCAAATAGGGGGGAGAGCCTTCCGAAAATGCACAAAAGAATATGCATTATGAAAACTATGCATGGAGCCCAACTGTTTTTGGTACCAAAATAAGCATATCTTTCACTTGCTTTTTTTCACCCACTTTTTGACATACCCTTTTGTAATGTGCTTCCCTTTGAGGTTTTCTGCAAGGTTTTTCTGCTGGATTTTGCCTTAGGATATGATACAGAGGATTATGAGACGGAAAGGAAGGCAGAAGGCTGCCAGATATGAGCCCAGGCACCATGTGAGCTAAAGTGGCCCGGGATGGAGAGTAGGCATGAATGGCTGCCCAATTTGTAGGTTCAGTGCACCCTGAAAAGGCAGGAACCCTTGTTAAAAAATTAGCCAAAATTTCAAGACATGAGTCAAAGGACACTGAGCCCTGAGCTTGAGGCTCTGTGTGTGTGCACTGGGTACAGGCCCATGAAGATGGCAGAGTCCTGAGTTAGCATGCTGGGAAGATGAGGGCCAGCTCCTCAGTGGTCTTCCTTCTGGTGGCTGTGCAGCTGTGATGCAAGGTTCCACGTTCCTCCCTGAAGAGAGGCTAAGTGCCCTGCCAGCGTCACACAGCTCAGAGGAGGACCTAGGCAGGGGCTGTCGTGGGAGATTGTGCTTACAACCAGCAGGGAGGGCAGCCAGAGTTCATGGCTGCCTATGGTTAGCTCTGGGGCTGCGCTCTGCTTTGGTTACTATGTCCAAGGCCTTTTTGGGGAGAGTTGTAAGGGCCTGACAACACGGCTTAGGAGGCTGACAAAGTTTTATTTGGGGCTCCTGGAGTCCAGTAAATCAGCCTCTGGCCCAAAGGACTGTTATCTGAGAAGCCAGACCTTGCCTGTCCCATGTCATAACACTTTAGAGCTTGAAGGGTGTGT